GTTTCCAAAAGCACAGCACCGACAGAAGTTACAGAGCGTGAGCAGAATATTATATATATATACACACATATATAAATACAGAGACATATATAAATAAAATATACGAAGGGGATAAATAGAATAAATAGGAATAAAAATAAAAATACAAGTGAATTGCACATTTCAAGTATTGAGGTCTATGCTCTGTGACGGCCAGTGGGCTGGCCTTGTGTTTTGTTTTTTCTTTTACCTGTTTCTTGCAGGTAGGTGGAGCTGACCCAATTAGTTGATGCAGCACACCTGAGAGGCCAGTCCCAGTGTATATAAAGACACCTTGACTGAACCAGTGGTGGCTGGCTTTGACGCTCTCTCTGGCACTTGTCATGTTCATTTGGAAGTTTCAGTTATGGCTGTTATGTCCTTTAAATTGTGTTTAAGTTGCTTTACCTTATTTTCATTAAATATGTCTTACAGCCTTTAAAAGCCTGTGTGTGGTCTCCCATTTGTTTGTCACTTCCTATGAGCCGGGTTGTGACAAATGGGGGCTCGTTTGGGATCGTCTGTCTGTCTTGGCTAGGACTTGCCTGGTAGGCAATTAGTTGAGTTGATTGCTGATCAGTTTGGTTATTTGTGGTGCTTTGATAATCTTGGGTCTGCTGTGTATTGTGTTTGGGAGGCCATTTGGGTTAGGCAGATTGAGTGGAGAAAGAGAATTCTGAGTAAAACCAAAGTTACTTTCCCTAGTAACTAGTTACTTTGAAAGTAACGAGTAACTTGAAGTAACTGAGTTACTTTTGAGAGAAGTAACTAGTAATGTAACTAAGTTACTATTTTAAAGTAACTTACCCAACACTGCTTATTTTTTTAAGTCACTCACATAAGACTCAATTGTTTCATCTGGCCGTTGGTTTCTGGGGTTAAACTTGTGCCTTTCCATTGTTATGTTTGTTTGGGGATTACAGAGTTCACGAAATTTGCGCTTTAGACATTCCGGGTCTTCTCTCGATTCTGCTTCGGTCACCAGTCGCCTGTGTTCTCCTTCCCCCGCGTGCACAGCGGGTGTATAAACGAATGCGCGCTCCCGCTCGATGGCTTCAGAGCCGGCTAGGTTTAGCAGGATGAACGCTCTTGTCCGAGCATCCTTATCGGAATGAGCAGCGGCTCATGTCGTATTCCTGCTCGAATATACGCCACTTCTCGGCGATGTTTCCACAAAACACCAATGGGTCTGGTCTACGGAATCCGTCCGACATGGTCGTTGACGTTTAATAGCCTCTTGCTACGATAGCCTAGCAACGCTAGCTGGTTACTTTATTGCTTCCGCCGTAAAGTGTTTGGAAAACTTCAGTCTTACCACTCCGTCGGCAGTGCTGGAGTAGATGACCGAACCACAACTTCTGACACCATGTTTGTCGTTTAATAATGACTCAGGGTTCGTGAATATCATCGAGCATCATTTACTTCGAAACAAACCAACCATTACACATTAGTCATCACATTCCAGGGGGCGGGTCCCTTCTCCCCTGCCCCGTCTCACTGCGTGCATGCGCAGCATACAAATACGGAACAGGTATATTAAAGCAGCATTAATGAACAACATTGGTCAGATGTTCTACAATTACTAAAACTAATCCAACACTAATGACATTAATACAGGAGCAGAGCCTAAATTACCTGTGTTTACCTATACTAGCTACTGCATCATGCTGCTGTGAAAAAAGGTCCATAGAATAGAAAGGAACAATAACAGGGATTACTTGTGAGTACTTCTCTTCTCCATCCAGGTCATCTTCCTCTTCCTCTTCATTTTCACGTATGTCAAAGTAGGACTCAGCCTCGGCTATTGGGACCCGCAGGGATGCAATGGTATGGTAGTTACTGGTCAGGATGCCATGGTTAAAGCTAGAGGCTTTGTCATGGGGCTCTGGTTCATCTGAGGTCACAAAGGTCAAAGGTAATACCTCCTTCATCATTGTGTCGTCTTCCTCACAACTGACTGCTAAAGTAAATGGACATTAAATCCAATTTAAAGCTTTTTTTCTTTACACATAACACTAATAAACAATAAACATCTGAAACATGGCTTGTACCACTGGACTGGTCTTGGTTGACTTGTTTCTTATTTCTCACTAAAGCCCAGATGTGTTCCAGGATCCAGAACTTGGTCCAGGCCACAGCCTGGTTAATCCGGTTTATGGCGATTTGTAAATTGTTTTCTCCTTCATCTTCTGGAGCTGCTAGATTATCACCACTGAAAGAACTCAGCAACAAGGCCAGGAACAGATTCAGGACCTGCAACAAAAGGGAAAAGCTTTAGAAACAGATTCATGGCCTAAAATAAGAAGAAACTAATTTAGGAACACATTCAGAATGAAAAAATAACAGTTTTATCAGCGAATGCAAGACAGGCACTGCTTGCTCAGTAAAACCTATAAATCAATATCAATTAAACCAAAACATGAAAGCAGTCTCTCGCCTCACATCTCAGTGTTCTGTCACAAAGCTTCTCTCATTGCCTGTTTACGTCATCCTTTGATTTACTGGCATCTTGTGGGTGCATTTAGCTATCATCTCTGGAAGCAGATTTAAATCTACTTGGCCTGGGCTTGGCAAGCCTGTGGAGCTCCAAAGTCAGCTCAAATGAAGTCGGACTCTGGCAGTGTCTGATGCAACAAACTTGAGTGTGGTGAGAGCATGGAACAGCACTTTTGGACAGCCTCAAAGCAATTGTGGCAAGCTAATGTACAACTCATAATTCCTATTTATGTGTTTTTGTGGATTTGGAGAAGGCATTTGACCACATCCCTTGAGTATCCTGTGACGGTGACCAGGAGAAAAATGGCATTGTTCCTCCTGAACCCAAAATTCAACAAATGAACAGACTCACTCTCCAGTATCCCGACATAGATACTGGAGAGTGAGTCCCAGGGGGTTGAGGAGTGTGATCCCCCTGTAGTTGGAGCACACCCTCTTTTCCCCCTTTTCACAAATGGAAATGAGAGGCACTGTCCCAGGACTCTACTCAACATTGCAAAGGCGTGTCAACCAAGAGAGCCTCACAACATCCAGAGTCTTAAGGAACTTAGGGCAAATCTTGTCCACCCCAGGGGCATAGCCACGGACCAGTTGTGTGAGTCATCAGACGGTTTATCAGAGTCGCCATGAGGCCGTCAAAAAGTGCTGTTCCATGGTCTCACCAAACTCGCCCCACGCCCAAGTTTTTGCATCAGCCACTGTCAGAGCCCAATTCGTTTAGCCTGCCAGCACTTGTCAGCTGCCTCTGGAGTCCCACAGGCTAACCAAGCCCAATAAGACACCTCCTTTAGCCTGACAGCTCCCTTGATCTTCCGTGTTTCCCTTGCAGCCGTAGCCCCTTGCAGTAACCACAGCAATGGTGTGGAGGTATGGAACATGATCTAATGGAACTCAATGTCACCAACTGTCACGGCTGCCGAGGCGAGCCGTGTGGAGTTAGAAGAAGGACCCAAGATGCAGGCAGTGGATGAGATGTCGGTGAGTTTATTTACACAGTGGTAAGAAGGCAAAACAGGCAAGAGGGAAGACAAAACTAAAGACCTGAACTGGGAAAGCTAAATGACAAACCTGAGATGAAACAAAAAGGGATGAGAAGCAGAGAGATGAGCAGGACATAGAGTAACACAGACTGACGCGGAGAAACACAGACTGACGCGGAACACAGACGAACCGGCAACAGGCAGGAGAACACACAGGGCTTAAATACACACACCAGTAATCAGGGGATGAGAGACAGGAGGGCTACACAGCTGGGAGGAATCTGGGCTGACGGGACAGGGGAAAAGTAACCTGAACACACTCACATCAGACAGAGACCTTCAGAATAAAACAGGAAACTAACAGACACAGAGAACCAGACAGGACACTGAACTTGACAGGCAGACTCATGAGCAGACACAATAACACCATGGACAGACAGAGGGAACACAGAGAAGTGGGAGCAGGCAGGCAAAGAACAGAAACCTAACAAATGGCAAAATCACAACAGAATACACACTCGGAATGAACCAAAGCATAAAGAAACACAAAACACTGAGTCCTCAGACTCAGGACCATGACACCAACCTCCATTAGAATGCCTTAAAAACTCCGCCAGAGGTGGGAGTTGAAGAGCTTTTGGATTTGGGCCTCTGTCAGACGTTCCTAGTGCACCCTCATGTTTGGGTACACCAGGTTTGTTTAGCATCTCACCACCAGTGCACCAATGTGCACCAATGTGCATGACAAATATCCTTGGGCAAGATACTAACCTCAGGTTAATTTCTGATGCATCAATGCATGTGAATGTTAGATAGAAAGAGCATGGAAAAAAATCTGCTGTGAATGGTTGATGAGGCTTGTGTTGAAACAAAAACGCTGGGTTTATCGTCTATGCTTGCCTTTCTGTAAATGTCACCATATACCTTTGACTTTCAAAACCTGAAACAATAAGAAACAGATTTAGGAAAAAGCACTTTCTAGTCAGATACTCACCACCAGGTTTCCAATAACCAGGACCATCATGAAGACAATTAGACACATGGTCTGATCCGACACCTCCATACAGTCCCACATGGTCTCGATCCACTCACCGCACAGCACCCTGAAGATGATGAGGAAGGAGTGGAAGAAGTCATGCATATGCCAGCGAGGAAGCTCACAGTCCTCTGCAATGCGACAGACGCAGTCTTTATAGTTCTTCCCAAACAGCTGCATGCCGACGACAGCAAAGATGAAGACAATGATGGCAAGAACCAGAGTCAGGTTCCCAAGAGCCCCCACCGAGTTCCCGATGATCTTTATCAGCATGTTCAGGGTTGGCCAGGACTTGGCCAGCTTAAATACTCGCATCTGTAAAGGTGAAGAGGCATGTGAGATAAGGGTGAGAAGACAGACTAGCACTAATATCATTTTTCATTCACTTTCTGAGTAAGTGATGATGGTAATGACAATGATGATGATGCACTGACCAGTCGGAATGAGCGTAACACTGATAGGCCCTGAACGTTAGCTAATCCCAGTTCAACCAGACTCATGGTGACAATGATGCTGTCAAAGATGTTCCAGCCCACCTACAGCCATGACAAAAAGTACAAAAATGTTACTATAGGAACAGTTGTGAATCATCAGTAAACAAACGCAAAGTCTGACCTGGAAGTAGTAATACGGGTCCATGGCCAGAAGCTTAAGGACCATTTCAGCTGTAAAGATACCTGTGAAGACCTGGGGGTTTAGAGGTGAGGGGTCAGACATCCAAATATGTTAAGATCTTTACCGTGTTTAACAGAGTGTAACATTCATGTGAGCTGAATGCATCTAATCAGGATCACATTGTATGACTCTATCACTGACCAGATTCCCAACACTCAGCAGCTCCTCAAACTCCTCTGTCATTGGATAATGCTCCATAGCCATGAAGACAGTGTTGAGGACGATGCAGATGGTGATGGTGAGGTCCACAAACGGATCCATAACAATGATGAAGAGCCACTGCTTGAGCCATCGCCAACAGCCACAACAGTTCCACTTCAGGAAGATGTCAGCGAACACATACCAACATGGAGGACACGGCCTCTGGTCATCCTCAAATTCTGAAAGTCACAGCTGATTGGTGAAGCATGAGCTTTATTGAGATTTTCTCTAAAGGTCCAGATGTGCACATATCACATACAAATGTCACAGACCAATTAAATGGGATTTATGCAGTGTTCATTGTAAGACAAAGAGCTTCACAGAGGTTATAAGTACAGTGAAGGCTTTCTGTTTGTGTTATGCTTTTGCCCTGCATACTGTCACAAGCCAGAGATCAGAAGTCAAGCGAGATTGTTTAAAAATTTAGACTGAATTTCTATCTCCAGGTGAAGAAGGTTAATTTTCATCTCCCTTGTTCTTGCTGTAGCTATTACTCATTACCACTGTGGTTTAAATCTCTCCTCTGGAGTCTTTGTTCATTTCACCTTCTGCTGCATAGCAGTAGCTCAAAGTTAAATTCAACCTTTGGTTTAACATGTTTCTGCTATTTGTGGGAAATACATGAAAGCTGCAATTGATTTGAGCTCATTAATGTGCCTATAAATATTTTAGACCAAATGTATTTGAAAGCAGCTGAACAATGACTATAGACATTTATGAACATTGGAGATGATGCTATTTGGACACTGTAGGTTGGTATTTTCAGCTGCAGCAGCTGTGATTTGAGACAGATGGATGATTGAACCCTCATGTTTATCTGGGTTTATGCTAACTTGGGACTCACTGAGGATGGATTTCGTGCCTCCTTTCACTTTCAAGCCAAAGATCTTTCACGTATAAGGCCAGGTGTTAACCACTACACCACAGAGCCACTGAACACTGTTAGTATAGCACAGACATTTTACCAGAGACTTCAAAATGCTTTTAAAGAGACTTTACATAGGGACCAATCAAATGAAAACGACCAGCTGCGTTTTTCCCGCAAGGTGCTCGACGTCTACCTCTGAACAGTTTGACCTGGTTGGTCATAATGACAGGACATCCCACAGGCTCTGTGTTAGAGGTAACATGACACAGGTGTATGTACCTTCCATTGCATTGTGCTCTAGCTTGTGGCTGTTTAAATCTGTAGATGAATTTTTCTTCTGCAGTGTTGGGTCTGCATCCTCTAACAGCTCTGCTGTCCTGGTTGTTGCCTGCTGTAATAAAACAAAGATTCAGCTGTGTTTAAATGATCCTGTGCAAGTTTTCATGCCTGTGATCAGACCTCCTCTTCTCTCCTCTTCAGCGCCTCCAGGATCTGAGCGTACTCCTCCTCCTTCTGTTTGGCTTCAGCGATGGTGGCTTGATTCTGCTCGGCGTACGCCATGGCGACCACAGCCAGGATGAGGTTAATGAGGTAAAATGACCCGAGGAAGATGACGACCACAAAGAAGATCATGTAGGTTTTACCGGCGGCTCGCAACGTCTGCATAGAAACAAAAGAAGGACAGGTGGGCGGAACTGCTGTATGTGCTTTGGCTCTTGGTTTGTCTCATAATATATAAGATGTATGACACTGTTGCCCTGTTTATGTTCTCATTTAATTCTGCACTCATTTATTTTGTGTTTATTTGGTAAAATGGTAAATGGCCCTTCTCTGTGCTGACGTCACACAGGTGTATTTGTTCTCTTTATGATGTTTATATCTACAGTTATGCTGTTTCAAGCTGTCAAATATTTCAAACGTCACACAAATATTTTTCATCCTAAATTCTGAGAAAGTTAGAAACCGAACGAAACGTAACATGGCAGTGCATCATGGGAAGTCAGGAAACAGACTGTATCTCAAAAATGGATGTAATGTCCAAATGCCATCCCTCAGTTCTCCATATGTTTCTTCCAAGGAGCCAGATTGTCTTGTAATTTAAAAAATTCTCTTGACCAATAGTTTTTCACGTTTTTTCAAGCTTTTTCAAAGTTCTTCTTTTTACATTGGATGTTTTTTCATCCATTTTCAATCCAGTCCTTGTCCCTGACCATTTTCAAATGAAATTTTTTTCTTGTGTGTATTGAGCCTCTGAACTCTGATCTATAAATCATTAAAGCATACAAAGCTCTTTACTCAAGGGACAAACCAATGTTGTGGGAAACAGAGTGAAAAGCCTGAAGTATGCCAAATTACACACGAACTGAAGTGAAAATCAGTCACGACAGGTCTGATAGAGCTACGTAATATTTTAAATCATCATCAGTAGAGTAGTCATCGGCCAGAAGTTTCCATCCACTCATCATGAGCATGAATCTCGTAGTATTTTAGGGCTTTTGATGGTATCGGTGAACT